AACACTAAGAGTCTTAATTATAGAATTAATTTTTGAACACTAGCGTTGAGTTACACGGACACTTTTTTTTTAAAGTGATTGGATATACTAAATTCAATTGAAGTGCTTACCTATATTTGTGTATACAGCTTTCAATTATTATAATTTATGAAAAAAGAACAGTATAAGTATTCATTGCATGAACATTTCATTTTTAAACAGGTGAATGAATTGTTGTCAAAATGATGAAATTATTATTATGTGAACAATTCGAAACAGAATACATCATATCATATAATAATATTGTCATAATTTGTTCTAGAAATATATTAAATTTAAAATGTACACATTTAGTAAAAATTCAATTTAAAAATTATAAAATAAGTTATTGATTTTTAATCTCGCATGTTATTTCGATAAAATAATGTATGTAGGCTACGAGTCTATGACGATTGTTTTTCACGTTTTTAATTTGGATTGAATTTAATAATATTAGGTACCAAATGAAAAATAAAAATTGGTAAAAATTTGGTATCATAAATAAAAAAAAATTTAAAAAAAAATGCTTTACCTTAAATAAATTTCTCGAAATTTCAATAAATCATTATTATTTTATAAAATTCGAAAAAAGCAACATGAGTAAAACATTCTTGGATCCAATTAAAATAAATAAAAAATGAATTGTACATTTTTAAAATAATTTTCACACGAGAATTAATATTCTCTCTTGCAATCACAATATTTAAATATGTATGGAGTTGAAGCGCTTGTGTGTGAGTTAAATAAAACTATATAATACATATTATAATTACTGCGATTTATTTAATTCCAAACGAACTCCGGTAAGCGTTGTATACGCACATTTACCGGTTTGTAACATATTATAATGTATAAACCTCTTTAGACAATATTAATGAACATTTTACGGTAACTAAACAAACAAGTTTAAAAACTTTAAAAAAAAAAAATCATAATAAATAGGTGTATAATGTTATAATATTATAAATCATTATGTACTAATAATAGAAACGCGAAGAAAAAAATTGTTTGAATGTGTTACCTACCTACAGAAACTCGTTGATAAAATGTTGACAGATGAAAACTCGTTGCGCATATCAATWATAATTATACACAGGTACATATAAGGAAGTGCCATTAAGTGTGCTTAAAAATTATTCGTTGTTGTTTTATTTTTTGAGATTGTTAAAAAAATTGTTGTATACAGGTATTGGTGTTTTTACTTACCCATTTTCACCGAGTCCGTGCAAGAATATGATCTGAAATCATAAAATTGAATCAAAAACTATTATAAGTGTTAAAATATTTTGCCAATTTTGTCGAYAGCATTATTATAATATTGAAAAACGCCGTAATATAATAAATTATTGWTATTATTATTATTATTATTATATGTATATTTTACTCACGGTGCCAGTGTGTTTTTTAGTAGGTGATACGATGAAGGCGTCTTCCGACATTTTCTTCTTTTACCACGGTTTTCGTTACTTTAAAATAATATAATTTTATATTATATCGACCACGGATGGCGTTTTATGTTAATATTGAATGCAAGATGTACGCAGTCAAAACGGATTGTTGTCGAGGGAGCGTTGCTTCAAGAGGGTGTGGGTGGATGAAAACCACGATCTCGACGACAATGCGTGTCCAGCTGTTGCAGGATTATGGACGAGTCCCAGTGTGATGCTGCACCGCGTGTTTCGTGTTCTTAAAATGACTGGCTTCCCGGTCCGGTGTTCAGTGGCTGTTATTTATGCTGAGTCCCTAATCTTGGTTTCAACGATTTGCGGTTACACACAGAAGGTAATAATTGTTACCACTACCATTTTTCTTATCTTTGTGTTATTCACTCGTGTTTATAATTAATAGGTTGTGGATCAATAAAAATAAAAATGTAATAATATTAATAAACCACGCACAAGAAATCTAAGATCGAGCGCTTCGCATACACACAAACACACGTGCACACACGCACACAAACTCAAGTGTACGTCATATATACACGGTGATTCTAAACATCTAAACGTAATTCACGTAAACAATCAATTTCAGGAAATGGGTTTAACGTATTTTCAAAAATATTTTTACACTGGTAAAATATGATTTATGTGTTCAAGAACGTTATTTTTAAAATTATGTAGAATCAATGGAACAAAATCGATGTTCACCTTTAAGATTAAAAGAATCACACTGTACCTAGCATGTGCTCGAACGCGCGCTCACGTTTGTGAGTTGTCCACAGTCCACCTATACACAGTCCACCACCTATTGTAAACCGTCTAAGCGCGTATTGTGTTGGGACGCATTCGGAGCGACGGCGTGAGATTGTAAAATAATATATTATAAACATATTTATCGATCATCAATGTATCATTATAATTCGTAACTACTTAAATATATTATAATAGGTGTATTAATTATATGCGTGCGAGTCGCTTACGGTACGCGTTTTAGTTTTCCACGTTTGTGAGGTGTGAAATCCTCAAATCCAATTAAGAAAGAAAATATATAATCTTTTAAGCATGAATTAAAACTCTGTAATCTTTTATACGGTATCTATAAGTATTCAGTAATTTATAAAAATTATAAAATACAAATAATCGATTATTTAATAATTTGATATATTTACATAATATAACCGTGTGCATAGKATCAGGGCAGTTTTCTATTATATTATGAAAAATATTTTAAGTATTTTACTGCTGTAGTTGGTTTAAAAATGCTATTCCTTTTTTGAATAGCTATTGTATCAAATCTCAAGGATACATTTTTGAATACTCGAATCAGTCGAACCTATATTTTTATGAATTTTTGATTACTCTGCCGATATTGTGTGTGGACGTATTAGCTAGGGTTATTTTATTTAAAAATATTAAAAAAAAAAAAATTAGGAAAATATACAAATGTTATTAAGTTTTTTATATTACATTCATGATATTCATTCAAGTTGCGATCTAGTGAGTATTTTCATTTTTATTGAGAAATATTAACAGAAATTATTAAATCTCAACTATAAAATGCATTTAAATATACCTAAARCACTCTGTCCAGCGAGATAATATATCGATTCTGCATGTGCAGCCTCTCACATTACCCCTCATACTACTATTAAAACTAGTTCCCCTACGACATGTTTTTGTGCACGCATGGGGATAAATAAAAGAACCGATTTTCGTCGGTCCGTGGTGTATACTCTCGCTAAAAAGAGTACACGTATTTTAACATTAAAAAAAAAAAACAACCAGCAAATAACATCAAGACAAGTAAATCTAATATAGTAATTGTGATCTACTATACCTGAAGAATCCACAATTTAGTTTGTGTCAGAGTTTTTTTAAATTTTATTTTTCGAGTAGTCAGCTCCAGTGGTAACGTAAAATGATCAACCAATCGGAAGTTTATGATAATTTAAACACTTTAAGTGACATTATAACTTATGAATATTAATTATATCTTTGAAAATGAAAGTTAAAAACAATAATATGAAAGAAATGGATATATTTAAGGTCAAAATAATTATACCTATAATATCTTTTTTATTTGTATAATAAGTAAAAAAATATAACGCATCAATGCTTAAAAAATTTCACAAAAAAATTGATAAGTTTAACAAGTTAAATATATTACAATAAAAAATTAAGTTAAAAATGAATTTTTGTGGTAAAAATATTTTTTCCGCGTTGATTGAATTTCACTAAAATCAGACTGCGTACATATATTGTTTGTCATCTGATCTGTCGTGCTTATAGAATTGACGATGATTAAGGCGGAACAATATGCACTCACAATTCTTTAATACAGATTCAGACATTTATTTATTTAAGAGGACGATAATATTACGATAAGACGGACAACAGAATTCGTTATGTACACCAAAACAAAAGAACAAATATTTATTCGTAAACGACTGGACGTCTGGATATCATACTACAATTATTATACCATTGTGCTATTGTTCTATACTACTATATTATTGTGTAGCATTATATTCATACATCGTCTGATTGTAAGTTGGAACAGGTGTTATAATAAAAATAAAGTTGTATTTGTTGTCTGTCAAGTTCTGTGGTATGATTACTTACTATTTACAATCAATAGCAAATGGTAGCTATAGGTACCTAATGGCAAGTACTCGCAATCAATGAAATAAGACATATAGATACCTAAAAATATTTGCAATCAATTGCAAGTACTTTCTACCAATGAGTAGTTCTAATGATTGCAAACAATTTTTTATTCTATTTATTATTATAAGGTCTATGGGGTGCGTCCAAATTGTCAAATTTAAACAAGATACAAAGATTCCAATCAATCACCTTACGCATGATAACTAAGTTCTCCTTTTACATATCCAACCACACACTCTACACAGACCTACACATTAAAACTGTATCAAAAATGTCATTAATTATACATAAACGCTATCGTCTAAGACTAGAGAATCACCCCAACCTGTTAATTTCAACACTTAACTTAGAAACAATACCTSGGAACCCCCAAAGAAGGCTTAAGAGAAAATGGTGCCGTGACCTAAAATCCTAATCTCAAAAAAAAAAAAAAATCTAATATAACAATTAAATCAATGTAAAGTGTAGCTACTGGGTTACTCCTGTTATTAAGCAACTCATGTCATATTTATTATAGCTCATATTCTTATTGTAGAAATTAATTTATAGATTGTATATATTCTATTAAAAAATAAATTATTATAAAGAATAATGATCACATTTTCAGAAATCGAAACGACAATAACGTGCTAGGTAAAAAAGAAATTATGTAAAACCATCTACTTCTCTATTAAATAATAAAAATATATAATTATACAGGGTGATTCTTTTATCAAACAACACTTATATGGTGTTTGTGTGTAAATACCACCTAACATACACCTATAACACAAAAACACCACCCAAAACCACCCAACTTTGGGTGGCTATATCTTGTAAACGAATTGACAAAAAATGAAAATTTAAACGTGAAAATTCATTGAAAAAATAGCCTTTTTAGTTTATCAAATTTTAAGTATAGGTTGTCATTTGAAAATCAAAAGTTGATAATGGTTAACCTGATAAATATAAAGGCGAAAATATTTAAAAAATATATAGTTCTAGAACAAAATGGTTCCAAAATTTTGAAAAAAAAAAAATTTGAAAAAATTCAATAGTTTTTGAAATAATGAGTGTTGTTTGATAAAAGAATCACCCTGTATAATATACGACCATATTATTTGTGTCGTATTTTTCTCACTGATAAAAATAATCTCTAATACAAATGTTTAATAAAACAATATAGTTTGTTTATTATTGCACAAAGCCAATTTTATTGACTATCATAATGGACAATTTATTTTTTTGGTTGTTAAATGGAAGAAGGAGTAAATTTGTTAGTATAATAACACGATCGTATTTGAGCGGAGTTAGGTCAAAAGACGCTAACCATGCATTCGTTGTTTCCATATGACTCACATTTGACATAGCAATCTATGGTTCACTAGTTCCAATAGAGTGATTCAACCTATTATTAAACTTTTTGATAAGAATATTATCGCAGTGATTCAGTATCAGTTTTTATTGGGTATTTTAATTTTCAAGCAAGTTAAGAGCATTTTCAATTTAAAATATTTTATATACCTATTTCCTTTTTTGAAAATCAAAATATCAGGGTATCACCAACGCTTAAGCACAGAAAATGTTATCTTAAAACCATGAAAAGTTTGATGATTGGTCAATTCACTTTAATAACAAAATTAACAGCACACTATTGGAGCTAGTTAATGAAAATTTGCTATATATCATATAGGTACTTTTGCAAATGAGAAAATGTTTCAGTTATGAAAATTCTTGGACATATCCTTAACTTACTATAMTATTTTAAGCATGTGTTTTGAACCCAAATAAAGTAAAAATAGGATATTTTTGATTCTGACCCTAATTTGGTTTACCGCATCAGAGTCATGGTACACTAGTACCATGACTCAATAGACTCCAGTCTAATATGTGGATATGGTAATGAATATTACTACCAATAATGAATGGCTACATAATAATTCGCTTCAACGATGACGTCATCCATTTGAATATTTGTGTAATACATATATCGTTATAAAATGATACACAATATTTAGTTTATTAGTTTCAAAATCATAKTGGTAACAAATTTTAGAAACAACAACAATATAATATTAATCATATGACTCGCAGCGCGAAGGCGTTGTAATCRTAGTTTAGTCTTATTAATTATGATTATTATTATTATCGCCGTCATCATCGCAATTATAATATATTATACCAATTTTATTTATTATTGTTTTGATCACGGAACCGTTTTCCAAAGTCCAGCCGTATATCACGTGGCGCTTTTTGACTTTACGCGATCGCACAATCTCTCAGGACTATAATGTCTAGTTTTTTCACTAAATAAAATATACTTTTATTTTTTAATGAGACATTGGTACAGATAATAGCTCGTATAGATTACGGGTGAGTAACCATGAATAATAAACTTATTCATCCGGCCAGGAAACATAAAACATTGATAGAAGAGTAACTAAGTCAGCAGAGAAAAATTATTTACTTGATATCGTTTTGGAGTTATCAATTACGGACAGTCAGTTAACCACAAAAGGGTAATGTTTTCTGCCAATCCCGTTCAGTGGCAGTGCTATAAAATAGGTACATACTTTCTTCACTGACACACCTCATCTGATGAAACGGGTACATAAAATATTTAACCATTGACAGATTGATT